TTTGTTGTGAGAGGGTGTCCTGCATGTTTTGGACTTCGGAAGCAGAATGCCACGATTCCTCCACAGGCTCATCCCCGAAAGCCCGCTAACCCCTAAAGACCCAAATACCCCCAACGCCCGAAAGCCTGTCAACCCCTAAAGACCCTAATCCCCCACCGCCCGCAATCCCCTTAAAGCCCCAAAATGCCCAACACCCAAAACCCTAACCCTAAACGCTAAACGTTAAACGTTACACGCTAAACGCTAAACGCTAAACCCTAAACCCTAAACCCTAAACCCTAAACCCTAAACCCTAAACCCTAAACCCAAACCTCAACAATCAAGCAGGTGGCAGTGACATCAGTGGGCCACGCAGCAGGAGGGGCAGTCCAAACCACCAAGAGTCCTGCGGACTGTTTAATTGGGATGCCCGGTTGGGTCTGGGGTATAGTTCGGGTTTTGGGTTCTTTAGGGGGTTTCGGGTGTTTGCGGGGATTAGGGCTTTGGTTCTGGATGCTGCAGTTCCTCGGAACATCGCTGCACCCGGTCTACCGACTTATCCTTCTACTGCATTGTTAACCCTGAAGTGTAGGCGGTGTCGTGTCCCATGCTTTTGTTGCAGAGTATGGAATCAGCCTGAGGAAATCTCGGCAGCAAGCGCTCCCGTGAATTGTGTATTCGAAGGCGCCGGCTGGATGTCCCCGAGTAGGCTACAGAGTCATAACCCTACAACTCCCACCCCAGACAGCAGAACATCTGGAAGAGCCGCCACGCAGTGGGTGCCTGGGCCACCCGGCTGCCTCACTGCGACCCTTGACCCGAAACCCTAAACTTACTGAACCCTAAAACCCAGAATCCAAAGCCCAAAATCCTGAACCCTAAACCCTAAACTTCCTGAATCCTAAACCGACTTCCCGCTGCTCCAGACGGAACTTGTCGATGAGGAACTCAGAAGCAGTGACATACTCGTGATGCGTCCTGGCTCAGCTTAGGGATTAGGTTTTAGGCTAAAGGGTTTATGGTTTAGGGTGCCTTCTTCCTCTTTCTACTCTAACCGCAAGCGTCTTCGTACTTGCACTTCTCCTTACCATGGGTTGCAGGCGCAACAACTGATCTTCAACCCCATACATCCGACATCCTACACCATGTGGGTGGCTCTCTGAATTGGGGGGGGGGGTCCTTGCTGTAAGGGTGCCGGACTACATGTACCGACAAAAACACATATAGATATATATATATATATATAGATATAGATACAGAAAAAGATGTAGGATACCGAACCCTCAACTACTAACTGCTTAAGAACCGCCCTCAAAAAATGACCTCCTTAGAAGGGCAATACAGGGATTGTCATTCTACTTTTTTTTTTTTTTTGGGGGGGGGGGGGGGCGGGGGGGGGGGGGGGGGGTTCTTAAGCAAATAGTAGTTATATAACCCCTCTACTCCCTAAACCCTATAGCCTTAACCCTACACCCTGAACCCTACACCCCAAACCCCAAACCCCAAACCCCAAACCCTAAACCCTAAACCCTAAACCCCAAACCCCAAACCCCAAACCCTAAACCCCAAACCCTAAACCCTAAACCCTAAGCCAGGTCGGTGTGTATTGAGCAAGCGTCTCATTCAAGCTCCAGCTGGGAAGGCGCCAGAGAGTCCAAACGCAGATGCTCCAGAAAGCCTTGGCTATCCAGCATCCTAGGGTTTAGGGTTTAGGGTTTAGGGTTTAGGGTTTATACATAAGAGTTTCGCACCCCCAAAAGAAGTTCAATGGTTGCCTGCTCTACCTCCGAGAAGCACAGAGCAGAGCCCCCATGCAGCCGCCCATGATCATCATGGCCCAGTGATCATCGCTGCCACAAATGATGCCTTAGTTTAGGGTTTAGGGTTTAGGGTGTCTTAGCCCCCAAAAGTGTACACTTTCAGTTCTATAGGGGAGTTTGGTAGCCCAAAAAGTGCAAAGTGTACTAATTCAGCTACTGAGATGCTGAGCATCTGCAAGTTGCTGTAGCGGCCATTTGGGTGTCTGAAGCCTTGCCAGCGCGGTAACCATACTAAATATAAAACCCTAAACCCTAAACCCTGAACACTGAACCCCCGACCCTGAACCCTGAATCCTGAACCCTGAACCCTGAACCCTAAACCCTAAACCCTAAACCATAAAACCTAAACCCTAAACCCTAAACCCTAAACCCTGAACCCTAAACCCTAAACCCTAAACCCTAAACCCTAAACCCTAAACCCTAAACCCTAAACCCTAAACCCTAAACCCTAAACCCTAAACCCTAAACCCTAAACCCTAAACCCCAATCCAAGAAGCACATGAAGGGAACCATGGCGAGGTTGCTAGCGGCACTGAAGAGGACCATCACCTCGAACAGCCGGATTCCGGGGTTAGAGGCCACCCTAAACCCTAAACCCTAAACCCTAAACCCTAAACCCTAAACCCTAAACCCTAAACCCTAAACCCTAAACCCTAGACCCTAGACCCTAGACCCTAGACCCTAGACCCTAGTCCCTAAACCCTACTCGAGACTGTCCCATGACATCTCCAGCTTTTCTTTACCAGGGCTGGACTTACTAGTAGTTGGGTGTAGGCACCCTAAACCCTAAACCCTAAACCCTGAACCCTGAACCCTAAACCCTAAACCCTAAACCCTGAACCCTGAACCCTAAACCCTAAACTCTCCAAGTCGCGATCTGTCCCATGGCAGCCAGAAGCTGTGGCAAATCGCGGCCCCGCCGGAGCATGTGCATGACGCAGTTGCAGAGGAGCAGCCAGAGCCTAGTTCATGGTTGGGATCGTATTAAGAACTGAAATTTCTGTTCCTTATTGAGTTTAAGGACCCTTGAAAATGTAACATGTTACCCCACTAATCACCTAAACCCTAAACCCTAAGCCCCAAGCCCCAAGCCCCAAGCCCCAAGCCCCAAGCCCCAGGCCCCAGGCCCCAAGCCCCAAGCCCCAAGCCCCAAGCCCTAAACTAATTAGGACAAAGGAGCAAGCCAGCAGGTAACACGGCGACCTGAAATCCAAACTGCTCCAAGGGCCGTGATCCGCTGACGCAGCTGATTCCCATATCCTTACTTCTCCAAGAACCAAGGGGGACAAAAAGGTCAAACTTTATCCTAACCCCTAAGCCCTACACCTTAAACCCTAAACCCTACACCCAAAACCCTAAACCCTAAACCCAAAAAGTTTAAAGTTCAACTATTGGCTGAGTATCTGCGGCCTCAAAGGCGAACACCTCCAAGTACGAGAAAGTGTCAAGCAACAGCTGCGGCCATTCCAGGGTCATCTGGCCCGTAATGGCAAGGGTCCTAGGACTCTAAACCCCAAAGCCCCTAGTAAGTTCCACACATCTACTCGGTTAAGGGTTTAGGTCTTACGGTTTAGGGTTTAGGGTTTAGGGCAAGGGTCTGCAGGAGGTTGCCACCAATCTCGAGGATGGTCAGGAAAGTGAAGACAAGCGTTTCTCGTGTTGGCGTTCGGTAAGTCATCTTGAGGGTCCTTAGTTGCTGAGTTCATAAGCCCCCCCAAAAGTGTACACTTTCAGTTCTAGAGGGAGTTATAGTATCCCCCAAAAAAGTGTAAAGTGTACTCAGTCAGCTGCTTAGGGTCTGGGCGAAAGGCAAGCAGGAGCAGACAGCCACGATCGCCAGGCCCCAGCCTACTCGCAACCAGGTCTCGCACTCGCGGCAGTCCTCGCCGGTCCAACGCTGATTGTACCCACACTCGAAGCAGCCAACACCATTGCTCGACTTAGTTGTTCAAGGGTGTAGGGTTTAGGGTTAGGATTTAGGGTTTGGGGTTTAATTAGGGTCTAGGGAACAACTCAATGACTCAACCAAAAAACAGCGCGGCAACAACTGGCAAAGCCATGGGAACACGGAACCATCCTTTCGACATGCGAATAGCTGATCTCTGCCAAGGTGCACCGGCACATGTACCTGGTGCACCGCCAGGACAGGCGTCCGAACTGCCGCACTTGTAAACATCAAGCGCTTCCGATGCAAGACCTTGGCAACTTTCTTTTGGGACCGCATGAACCCTGATAGGATGTATATATATATATACATACATACATACATATATATATATATATATATTGCATAATATATATATATATATATACAGGGTATATGACCCGCATTTTTTGGGTTCATTAGGTCCACCAGGGTTCCAAGCCGCGAGAGGGTTCAAGCGTTCCTGTCAGTCAGCCCTGTAAACCGGATCGATCATAAATCTAAGGTTTAGGGTTTAGGGTTTAGGGTTTAGGGTTTAGGGTTTAGGGTTTAGGATGTGGAGTACTGCTCGGGTTGGAAGGGCAAGGGCTCAGAGACTCAGGATGTCATGCCTGCCCCCCAAAGTCCGCCACAGAGTGACGTTGGCATGGACCACCCAAACTCTAAACCCCAGACCGTAAACCGTTTAGGGTTTAGGGAGTTTAGGGTTTAGTACGTGAAATACAGAACCCTACGGGGACCAGAAAGCTTAGGCAGCCTAAGTCTGAATCCTAGACCCTCGGATCGCGCCTCGATTTTTTCGAACAAAAGACAGCCTCGGTAACGCAACAACGTCTCCACCTGAGCGGCCAGGATGCTTCACGCACTCCCCCTCACCTGAGACTCCAAGACTCAGGTGATTGGAATGCATCACCAGGAAAACATCAGCATTCTATATGCCCGAGCCCAGATGGATCGTCCTTTGGTTGCAAAAGTGGACAAAAGCCTCGTTGTACAAATGTTTGACCCTATTTCGAACAGGCCGTTCTGTTTCGGCAGCCCTTTCTCCTTTGGAGCAGTTCGATGTCGGATCAAGAGGCATCCACGCATGCAAGCAGAGACCGAAAACTATAGCTATGATCCTACACCCCCCACAAGACTTAGCTTCATGAGGATTAAAAGCCCAGATATTCTGGAGATAACAGCTGATAGTCTTCGTCTCCTTTGGTTTTTTGGCAGTTGCCAGCATCCGCAACTTAGGACACCGCTGATCTTATTCAGAATGCCCCAAAATCAGTTCAATCAGAAGAGTCTGTGGAGGACAAGCCATCTCTGTCACGCCTCTCAAGGTGAGAGCCTAGGAGGCCATAAAATCGTGATTGAACCGCTTCAGGATATTCTTGTACGTCAAACACGTATCCTGCACGCCAGTAGCAGTACAAGATGTTCGCTCGGTGAGGGATACCTGGATGCAAAGGCCACGGCACCGTTTCGGCGCTGACTGCCTGATCCTGCACTGTCTTTCTACTTCTGCACACACGAAGAGATAAGGCACGAACGATTTCCCAGATTCCAATCACGCAGGCAACCCACAGCCACCAGTCCCAGCTCCCGGCTTCTTCAGAGCTAGACCCTTGCTCATCCTCCAGACACACATCGCCAACCCCAGTGGAGCTACCAGTCGGTTCATCCCACCTGCCGAAAGAAACCGGTTCATCCCCATAGGTTACTACCTCTGCAGAACTAGGAAGAATGCCGCCCAGGACTAACCAGAGAACATAGAGAAGTACGACCCAGCGCCTATCACTCCTTGGCCGCACACCCCAAATCCTCCCAAAAGTCCCTGCAAAATCCCCCTTACTCCTACACCAAAGCAGCAAGAACCAACACGCCACAAAACTAACGCTCCACAACTGAACGAATGCCCCAACAAGAGATAAACCGACCCCGACCCCGACGACCCAAACCACACTTTGCGAACCCTGAACTTGAGTGGAACTCTGACTTTCTTGATTGCTGGTCTGTGCCAGCATTGCATGAAACGACGTCCATTCACCCTCATTCAGCCCGGTAACAATAGTCTCAACCTCAGCCTGGGACCATCCCTGAAGCGCTATACTAACCTCGTCGTCAGCATAGGTCCCTATTAGCACTTCATGCCCAGCTCGGAAGTTCACTCCTAAAGGTTGTGGCTCGTCTGCCTGGGCAAGTCTGGCCTCGGCATCATGAATAACCCATACTTCTTCATCGACAGCAGCATCTCCGCTAGACACAGAAAATATCGACGGCTCAGTTGTCGAATCTCCGCTTTCGCTTTCAGAAGAAGACCACCCTTCCCCAAGGAAAAATTGACCTTCTACAGGAACCCGGGGACTTACAGCTCTATGGGGCCTATCATCTGGAGTAGGGTCATCTTCTAAGTCAAGGAGATTCAGCACGGAAATGGATGGAGACTGCGCAGTGACAATCTCTTCGGACTCAGGCTGGCCGTTCAACGGCGCGTGAAGGAATGCCGCCCGTACGTCGGCGCTCGAAGCTGCCAAACCCCGGTAAGCGGCAAGGCTTAATGCCGTTCTTACAGTCAAGCTTTCAACACCACTCGGAGGAACCTGCAGACTGCGACTGCCCCCCCCAATCTGCACATCGAGACTTGGAGGAACCTGCTGACTGCTACTGCTCCCCCCAATCTGCACACCGAGACTTGGAGGAACCTGCTGACTGCTACTGCTCCCCCCAATCTGCACATCGGGACTTGGAGGAACCTGCTGACTGCTATTGCTCCCCCCAATCTGCACATCGGGACTTGGAGGAACCTGCTGACTGCTATTGCTCCCCCCAATCTGCACATCGGGAGTTGGAGGAACCTGCTGACTGCTGCGCTCCCGTTCCTGAAGTTTGCGCTGCGCCTCCAGCAATTCAGTTTCAGAGAACTGTTCAGACCCATCACCTTCAGAACCAGCCCTACTTTCAACTTCAGAAGCCAGGGAAACCTCATTTCCAACCCCGAAGTCCTGTTGAGCCTCGGCAGCAAACTCCAAACCCCCAAGACTGACAGCATCGCCTACTAATTCCCGCAACTGTTCCCCCCGCCAAAAGCCTCTGAAACCTAAACCAAGGAACCACTGAGCCCAAGCAAGCAAAACCAAACCCACCAAAACTCCGAAGAACCAAAGAATCCATTCAATCCTTTCTTCAACTCGCAATGCCGGTTGAGCTCGGACACCAGACAACACAGCAACCAATGCAAGACCCGCTAAGGTCCGGGGAGAGACAGATCCCTGGGATCCGAAGCTGGAAGACAACCTGCTGACTGTACGGATCGAATCATCTGCCCCAGCTGGCGAAAGTCTCATTCGCATATTCATTAGTTCCGCAAGCTGAAGAATCCTAGCTCGAGACAGTGGTTTCGTAGCTATATCTGCGAGCTGAATCGATCCTGGAACATAGGTGACTACTAGAGATCCCGCATCTATACGTTCACGCCCAGCTGCAGCTCTCATGCGAAGATGTCGATTACGCCACCCGAGACTTCCAACAGCAAACGACCTTACCGCTGCCTGGTTATCACACAAGGCAGAGACCGTGATGTCGGACTCGATCATTTCCTCAATGATGCCCCCAATTGATTCTGCAGCAACTATTCCGGCGGTGACTGCAACTAGCTCTGCCTCCGTAGAGGACAGAGTCACAAACGGTTGACGACAGGATTCCCAGCATAACACATTTCCTCCCCATAGGATGACCATCGCTTGGCAAGATCGCCCCCCGTTAGGGGCATGGGAAGCGTCGGTGTACAACTCCAGAGTATTTAAAGTTCGAGGAACCGGAGCGTCAAGCCAGGAATTGTCGCTTGGCTTCTGGTATTCCAGCCACAGGTCCGCCGTACCATACAAGTAGCGCAGGATTTGATGCCCGCTCTCAATCACAATGCTTGGCGCCTTCACAGCATATTGCCCAAGTTTACTGACAGCAAAAGCAATATCGGGTCTGGTTTTCGACGAAGCCCAAAGCAAAGCACCTGTCAGGGCTTGCGCCTTCCGGACAGTCTCCAACTGCACCTGTTGCTCATTTTCCGGATCAGTCCAATTACTCAAGGGCGCACTTGCACTGCTTGTGACGTCGTATCTTGCAAAAAGCTCCTGCAAATAGGAAACCTGCGATATGCGATACCCTCCTCGTTGTAGGGCCTGGATTTCCAACCCACAGAACTTAGTGGCAGCCTCCTCCCGAATCCACTCGGGTTCCGAAAGCTTCCACAGCTTCTGTATTTCATCGAAAAGGGCACTAAGGATCACCGATGAAGCGAAACCCAAAAGATCGTCAACGTAAATGATCAAGATACCATGCCAACGCTCAGTGTCATCCTCGGCAATCTCGCTTTTAGTGATGAACCAAAGCGAATCATCACTGACACCCTGCTGCAAGGCATACCATGCACCGTCACACTGAAAGGTCAGCACCCGCAATGACTTATCTCGGAACCGGGCCCAAGCCAAGGGAGCTTGTCGTAACCCATACAGTGCTTTACGCACGCGCCATCGATGATTCGGGGAAAGAATTTTCATGTCTACAAGAATAGATGGAGGCCTGACAATGATAATTTCTTCGGACTCAAGCTCGCCGTCCAACGGCGCGTGAAGGAAGGCCGTCCTTATGTCGGCGCTCAAAGCTGCCCAACCACGGTAAGCAGCAAAACCTAATGCCGTTCTGACAGTCAAGCTTTCAACGCCACTCGCATAAAGGTTGTTGGAATCAGGAGAGCCAGTGGGGATGTAGTTCCCACACGCGACACACCTGAATCGGCGTTTCCCAACACCAGCCTTCCTGGTTAGGACTGCCTTTCCTGGAACCTGGGTTACCCTTTTTCCTTCTTGAATCAACCGCTCAATGTCCGACACGACAATGCGCTCAACAGCCTCATTCGTTTGTTCCAAAGAGACAACTTCCTCAGTAGCCGAAGGTATCCATAGCACCAATTCACCCTTTGCCTCAGCTAAGCTTACTGTCCTCGTTTGGAGAAAAGCTTCGGCAGGGCTGGTTTGGTCTTCCGGGTTCAGAGGAACATCCTGATTCAAAGCCTTTAACATACTCCCAGAATTCCTGACAAAGTCATCCCACAGAAGTCCCTCATACCACTCGCGCTGGCATTCAACCGACTTCAAGGTCCGAATCAATTCGTAGCCTACATCATCATTTCCAAAACAGCTAAGCTCCTTCACAAGGGCTTTACACGCCAAAGCTGAGGACAGGTGATTTCTTAAAACGTGCTCACGCCAACCAGGCTTCAACACTTCACAGGGAAACTCAACTTCCCAAAGCCCCTCAGAGGTCAAGTCCTCATCACCCTCAGCATTAAACTTTGAAATCGAAGCACGCTCTGCAGCGAAAAGGTGATCCAACCCTTTAGAATCGAACCCCAAGCTCTCAAGCTCACGAGCGTATTCGTTCAGAATCTTCCATGTACCCCGAGGAGCATAGGCAGCAATCACCCACCTATCCTTGCCACACCAAGGTTCAGCGCAATGCCACAATTGACCACTAAAGGTGCACGGGTTATCATGAATATCCCTGACAAAACCAGCCCTTAAGTCACCCCCCGGCAACTGTCTTAAAACAGGACCCTGGCCATCGGAACTTTCAACCCACAAGCCACCTCCTTGAAACTCCCCAAGAGCAATCACCCAAACCGGTACCACTCTTTCATTTCTAGCATCCTGGTGCAAAGGGGTAGAGGTGTTACGAGTAAGGTACAGGGTAGTGTAAGGATGTTCGCAACCCTGAGCTCGAACAAACTTGTTCAAGTAACGCACAAGATCCCCATGATCCTTGGCGAACCTCGACACGCCTTGAAAACCCCCCTGATTGTACAACCCCATCACAGCACACCTACCTTTTCCACCCAATACCCTTCGATTTGGAGGAGGAAGCTTGTCAGCACACCTTCTAAGCACCTCTAATGCCTCAACCGTGCTGTAGTCACCAGTCTCAAGCTTATTTCCCAGCCAAACACCAGAATCTCCAAAGAGAAGCTTCACGGTCGTACCATCAACCTGGAGTTCTTGAAACCCTTCCTCATCCGTAGTTACACCAAGATCCCCATCTGAAGCCTCTTCGGAAAGACTGGAAGACCCTGATTCAAGCCCGGTCTCAAACTTCGGCCCCTCAGAACTTTCGAAATCTCTCAAACACCCAACGCACTCCCCCCCAGGTGCAAACCTGGCAACAGAAGAGCGGCCGGTTGGCCATCTGGCGCTCTTAGCAGCCACAGCCCGAACAGCAAAACCCGGCGGGGTTTTGGTAGTCAAACGAAACTTGGGTTTCGGGACTGTCAAAGGATCAACAGGGTAGACAGTGTTGGTTAGCAAAACACGCTGCTCGGACCCATCCTGGATTAACACCAGGTGCCCACCAGCACAATCAGTTGCAACCCCCAGGTACTTGCCCGGAACAGTTCGTGTCTCCCAATGCTTCTTATGACCCGACTTCAAACGCTTTCGCGCATGCAACCATACCCCAAACGGTAAAAGGACAGCCTGTCCCACACCCAAAGCCTCAGCCATTTGCACAAAGTGTCTTTGCGAAGCATGAAGAATAGCAAATGGCCAAAACTCGATTGGCAGATCGGCAACGCGAAGGAGTTTCCTGGCATCTTGCTTCAACCGCTGGACACTGACCTCTGCCTTATTTCCAGCAGGATCCTCTCCTGCGGTAAATGAGGCACGAATGCCGCGTTCTCGAAGCCACTGAATCAAAGCATGGCTCCTCAGCTCTTTAGCACGGTCTGCGAAGTAGCGGTGAACAGGGTACCCAAACGACTCCAACCTGTTGACCAGAGCTTGAACCTGTCCCATGACTTCAGAGCCACGCTTGGTGCGCAACGGAATCCCAAGAAAAAGGGTTTTCGTGACGACTTTCGGCTCCTCTTCTGCCCCGTCTGCAGCGTTCCCCGGTAAATCAGGGCCAGGAGCCTTTCTTTCTGCAAACTCAGCTCCGTCTTGTAACGGATCAACCCTAGGGAACGTCTTGCCTCTTACCCTACGGAACAAGGCCTTACTAGAGAACCCTCCAGCAATCTGCTCATGTACCCCGTCCAGCCACTCAGAGCAATCCTCAGACGCCTCATCGGCTATAGGTCCTACCCCTGCAGCTTCTTGCTCACACTCAGAAGGACAATACTCAGCTAGATCATCAGGAGGACTCAAATCAGGTCGCAACTCGGGACTCAAGGGTATCGAGTACGCTGCAGCAATGAAGTACTTATAGCCACGTCCACGATCCCTGCCAGACGCAATCGGGTCAAAACTGCGACCATCCTTGAACGGTCCAGCAATGTCGACACTCAAAGAGTACAAGGTGGTGATCCGAGATCGCCAATGACTCCGCTGGCGACCTTGAGCAGCTATGCAGTCACCACACCCCCTCCTAAAAGGGATATGATCGTTGGCCCTATGCCTACGAAGACTCTCCTCTTCGGTTAGCTTCGCCAACAAAGCTCGGCGCTCACTCAGGTCCCCAACTTCAAGCCTACTACGTCGGCACTTCTCCCAAGCATTTTTAACACACCCAATCAAACCTGGAGCCCAAACCCGACTCCCATTGATCCTCGAAGACTCAGGCATTTGAATATGTTCCGGAACCCGCAGGGCATGTAGGCTCTCGAACACATCCCACGAAGAGGTCACAAGGACAGTGGAATCCCGCGCCAAATTTCCCAGACATCCCTGATCAAAAGATACCCGGTACAACCCATATGCCTCACGGAGCCCTTCCACTTCTTCAGGCCTAGTCAACCCATCAAAGGACCCCTCTAAGACAAAGAAGACAGCCCTCTCTGTCTGACCACCTTTGCATACAGGCGGACTCTCTGCAGCTCGGGGCCCCCCTTTTAGGTCACTCAACTCCGGCTCAACCGACATCTGAAGCTTGACAGCGGCCCTCCGTAAAGCCCACAAGGCTATTTCATGAGGATCATCAAGACCCTGAGGAGGCTCTCCGGACCCTGACTCGCCCTCACCAGCAGGCTCACGCGGCTCGGTAACTTCACAAGCAGTGTTCTCAGCAGCTGCCTGCGCCACCATATACACTAAGCATAACCTGAACCATGATACCTGCTTTCTCAACGCAGCTTCCTTTTCACTGTCCGAAAGACTACTTCCCAGTTCGAAACCCTTTTCTTCGGTAGAAGCCACAATTCCTCCAAGAACACCAGACTGAGCCCACTTTAGAACCTGAAGGAAGACCGGCACAATCCCGAGATCACTACCGAAGTCCCTCCGAAGCTCTACTACTCGTCCAGGACCCTTCCACTTGTCGCCTACAGCCCCAACACGAAGAAGTACCGACCCTTGCGTATCCCGATCAACACTCCTCCTAAGCCTGCGATTCCAAGGAGCAACACCCTGGCAACCCGCAAAGGGATCTTCCGGATCAACTACCGTCCTCTCTAGAACCCAATCCGAGATCCCAGGAAACACACTCCTCAAAAGGCTCACTTGAGTAACCCGATCTAGCAACCCGGCAGCCGACTGCTTCAGTTGATCCCTTAACCACATCTTCACTTCTTTCGCGTTAAGCTGTTCCCCAGCTTCAGAGCATGTCAATCCCTTTACCGAACGAGACCCTGCCCTAAACCTTTCATACTGATCCAGAAGCCGCATCCCAAGTTCCCTAGGTACCAAAGGACATCCCTTCACCACACTCACCTCAAGCTCTCCGAGTTTGGGATGCCGTATTCTACAACCCTTCTTCCCCCAAGAGATACGGTAACCCATACTGACTAAGTACCCGGCAGGCAATATGAGCTGGCAATCAACAGGGCTAAGCAAGGTCCCATACTCGTTGACGTGCAATTCAGTGACACCTGATGCCAGATCAACCCGAATGGACTCAGCCCCACGAAGCTCCTCAGAACAAGCAAACCTTAAGGCGTTTGTGGCACCAGAGTCAATCAAGGCATACTCAAGATTGGATGCACTCACAGCGCTACAGAGCCAAGTCTCATCTATGTTCCACTCGCCAACCCTCAAAACCTTTGCGCTTGCACCTTGCAAAAGCTTGGCTGCTTCAGCAAACAAGGCTTCCTTGGCGCCCGAAGCACTAGAGGCTTCAGAATTCCTGGCACCGGCACTTCCAGAGGGTGCATCCTCAGATATACCCTTCGCTTGAGGCTGGGACTTCGGCTTAGGCTTCGCCTCTGATTTCTTAGGGCTAGGAGGACCCTTGGCGCTTGGCGATCCACCCTCTGGCAGCACCGGTCTGAGCTCTGCTGGGACAATCGGACAGTCCGGCCGGTAGTGTCCGCTCTGACCACAAGCCAAGCACCTACTTTGCCTTCTAGCTTTAGCCCTATCGTGCCTGAAAGTACAGCTATCCCCAAAGCGACACCCGGTACCGTCACCAAACCTGAAACACTCAACCGTACTACCAGAACCCTTCGAGGACTTACCCTTACCTTTACCAGCGTCCGCCTCTCCAAATACCGCTGCCACAGTGGGACTCGGCGTCTGAGAAGATGCAGATGTGCTGGGAAGCTTGGGGTCTGGGGCCTTCGCAGCGGCAGCAGCAGCAGCAGCAGCTCTGGCCTTTTTATCCGGAGGAGACTCAACAGTCATGGCTAGAGACTCGCACTCAGCCTGAATGAGTTTCACTAGCTGCGTAACCCCCGTTACCGACGGGTTGTAGTCGATTGAGCTTTTATGCCTAAACACGCTAACTCGGAACGCCACCATTGGCTGAAGAGCTAGAAGAGAGCTGGTAGCAGCATCTATCCCTTTCAGAAGTAGACTGGGGTCCGGGAGGGTTGCTTGTATCTCCCGTGCCCTGATCAGATCCTGTTGCCATCGCCTCAAACCTGAAATCGCATCCTTAAATGACTTGCATGGATCAGGCTGAACAAGACGCGAAAGGAGGTACGCCCTCTCCGTGCTGCCCCCTGGTTGGTAAACGCAAAGAATCCGATACAGTATGGAAGCAGTTGTCATCCAACGGTTAGTAACTAGCTCATCCTTGAAACTCTGAGGGACACACGACAACAGCAACGATACTGCCCTACTTTCTACGCGCTGGTACTTGACGGCATCATAGTGAGCAACAACCGTGGAGGGATCGAGAGCTAGCCGTTCCAACGGATCTGCTACAAGCCAACGCTGATAGCTTGCATTAGCCGCGCCCTCAACCGAGCTGAACCAAACAGACGCTGACGGCGAAAGCCCCGCGAAAACCTGGCGTGTCTGCGCAAGCCAGTTGCCACATGTTACGGCGCTAGTGGTCAAGTCAGCAGCAGCAAGCTTAGGCAGGTCGATAATGTACTTCGCTGGTTCCTCAGGAAATGCCCCAGGAGCGCTAAAGGACGAGATCCCCTCTGCAACAGTGGGAGAAGACCCTGGAACGCCTTGACTCGGTATCCCCTTTTCCCCACGCGCAAAATCCTCAACGCCAGCCAAATATCCTGGACCCCGGGAACCCCCGGACATCACCCCACATTCAGCAGCATTTGCTCCCAAGTGCCCGGATCCATAAGCCTGAACCCCTCGAGGTGACATTGGGGGAGGCCCTGGCGGAGGTCGGATGACAGTACCACCCGGCGACAGCGGATATCCATCAGAACTGAACCCAGCCAACCCCGAAGCTCCTACGGATCTTGGTGTATGATAGCCAGACTCACCCTGACCCTCCCTTGACGCCAAAGCAAACGAAGCGAACTGTCCCAAAGTCTGAGTCCCTGATCCCCACCCTTCATCCCTTTCAACCAAAGTCCGAAGGGGTACACTGGGCGGCCTAGGGGGTGGTGACCTAATCCCAGGCATAAACGGCACCGAAGTTTCATGCCTAACCCTACAGACCTCGAAACCTTGACCCGACCCACCCCGCTCGGTGGGACTCCCAACCAAAGCTCCACAAGGCGGCGGACACATGCCAGGAGGCTGAGCTACCCTAGCAGTCTCAAACCACCCCCTTGACAATTCAGAACCTTGGAAATCGTTGCCCGGAAACGCACTCGGCATCTGTACAAGACGATTCTCTCGTGGCGCGGCCACGCAACTCTGTACATTCCCAGCGAAAGACATCGGCGAACTGACCTGAGCTTCGAGCGCTGTCACACAGGTTCCTCCACTCAGGCCGCTTGACTGAGACTCCACCGCTTCCAGTCTCTGCCGCAGAGCAGCATTCTCCTGCATCACTTGCAACATCATCTGTTCCATCCTGGAAAAACCAGAGTCAGGAATGAGCTCTCGAGCGTCTGAAGCTCCCGGTTTCTCACCAGCAAAAGTGCTCGCGGATCCATCCCTCGGATTTGCACCCCGACCCTTGCCAGTAATTTCCCAGCCTCGCCCAGTCTCAGGTTGCACCTCAACTATGCCAGGCTTTTGCTCCTCGGCTTCACCAGACTGCTCAACAGCATGCTCGCCTGCTATCTCCACTCGGGCCAGCTTAGGAGCTCCTCCACGAGATCCATGGCCAGCTAAGCTATAGTCCGGTTCCCTGCCGCCACTCAAAAAGCTCGAATCTCCAAGAGCTGCCTCATCGTAATCGATTCCAGCACGCCTTCCGTCATCATCCAACGTCGCCGGTCTCGATCTGAGAAGCTCCACTTCTGATTTCACCTTCTCAGAATGAAAAGGACTTGCCACAAACAAGTTGGCAGGCGTCTCCGGCTCTGCCGGAACCCCGCCCTGCTCCAACATGCCCGGAGACATTTCTCCTAGACGTACAGGTGCAGGCTGTTGCTCGCTGTCCTCTTGGCCCAAGGCTGCCTGATAATCTGGCTCAGAAGCTCCAGCAGGGACCTCGATATCCCTTCCTCCAGAGCCCCTTCGCTGACGTGTAAAGGAATCCATGGCGTCACAGCACCCGCACTAAGTGCCGGACCCTAAAGAAAAGGCCTATCTTAAAGCTCACAGCCCTAGAACCTATTACGGCTGATAACCTACGTGAAATACAGAACCCTACGGGGACCAGAAAGCTTAGGCAGCCTAAGTCTGAATCCTAGACCCTCGGATCGCGCCTCGATTTTTTCGAACAAAAGACAGCCTCGGTAACGCAACAACGTCTCCACCTGAGCGGCCAGGATGCTTCACGCATTTAGGGTTTAGGGTTTAGGGATATAGGGTTTAGGGTCTTGGGTTCAGGGCTCCCCTCCCTCGCCCTAGCATAGCTCCGGACTCATGAAGCCTGGCAGGACCATCGGAATGTAGTCCTCGCCATTCTACTTGGGCTTTGAGGGTTCTGAGCGCTAAACCCTGAACCCTGAACCCTGAACCATAACCCTAAACTCTAAACCCTAAAACCTGAACCCTAAACCCTAAACCGAGTAGACGTGTGGAACTTACTAGGGGTATTGGGGTTTAGAGTCTTAGGGCGGGTTTAGGGGTATGGGCTATCAAGGCTTCATCTACAGACTATGAAGTTGCTAGGGTTTGGGGTTTAGGGTTTAGGGTGTTTATCGTCGCGCATGCAGCTCTTGTTTTGGCTAGTATACTGAGACCGATGGCGACCCCTTCGGGCGGGATTTATGGCATCCCGACAACCTCAAGGCCTCAAAGCCTCAAAACCTCAAAACCTCAAAACCTCAAAACCTCAAAAACCTCAAAACCTCAAAAACATCAAAAACCTCAAAAACCTCAAAACCTCAAAAACCTCAAAAACCTCAAAAACCTCAAAAACCTCAAAACCCTAAACCCTAAACCCTCAACCCCTAAACCCTAAACCCTAAACCCCTAAACCCGACTCGCCCGGCGGTCCTCTCCCAGCTCTGACTGCCCAGACACGAGGGACTCACGGCTCGACAGTGCGGGGCACTTCATCCCAGGCTGACCTCAGATGTTTTGGGGTTTAGGGTTTAGGGTTTGGGGGTTTGGGGGTTTAGGGTTTAGGGTTTAGGGTCTAGGGTTTTGGGTTTAGGGTTTAGGGTTTGGGGGTTTGGGGGTTTAGGGTTTAGAGTTTGGGGTTTAGGGTTTAGGGTTTAGGGTGCTTCGCCATCAGGCCCCTTGAGTGAGATGGAGCTTGTTGGCCTAAGTTGGCCTGTTTGCTCTAATCTTGGCTGCACTTAGGCGGGTAGTAAAAAACAACCCTAAACCCTAAACCCAATGAACCCAATGAACCCAAAAAGGCTAAGGATCTAAAGTTGCAGTAAAGCACCACACAGTAAACTCCTAACTTCTTAAGGAAGTTACATGGTCCCTTAGTTGGGGCTTTCAAGTGGGGCCCCCCCTTATATACCTCTTATATGCCACTTATATGCCTCTTATATACCTCTTATATACCTCTTATATACCTCTTATACACCTCTTATACACCTCTTATATACCTCTTATATACCACTTGTATACCTCTTATATACCTCTTTTCTACCCCATACAACCCAGGGCAAAGTAATCAAGGCAAGTTCACAGACCACGCACACGGCGGTGCCCGCCGTGACGGTGTTGATCTGTCCTTCTCAGCCCTAGACCCAAAACCCTAAACCCTAAACCCTAAACCCTAAACCCTAAACCCAAAACCCAAAACCCAAAACCCTAAACCCTAAACCCTAAACTAACCCTAAACCCTAAACCCTAAACTAACCCTAAACCCTGTTCTGTTCTGCAAACCCTAAACATTCCATCACGGGTTCTGGAAACTGAGCCAGGAAAGCCTACGAGGACTTTGCGACCCCACCGCATCGTGCAAACCTTGGGTTTAGGGTTTAGGGTTTAGGGTTTAGGGTTTAGGGTTTAGGGTTTACGGTTTGGGGTTTACGGTTTGGGGTTCCGGGCTTGGGGTTTAAGGTTTGGATTTGTAGGGTTTCGGGGTTCAGGGTTCAGGGCTTTGGGGGCCCTCATGCCTAAACACAAACCACACGACAAGCTGGCTCGTACATGCGCGAGGCGTCCATGGTTGTTGTTTAACCGATATATCTCCCGGGGGTCGTAATTGGGGTATTCCTGAAAGTTGCGTGCGCCCGCTAAACTCCAAAACCCTAAACCCGAAACCCTAAACCCCTATACACAAAAAAGATGGCCCCACCATAGCCGCCCTCTGCACTGTAGGCCCCTTCTGATCCCATCAGCCTGAGCCCCCTACCACCAAAACCTCCGAAACCCCTAAACCCTAAACCCTAAACCCTAAAACCCTAAAACCCTAAACCCTAAACCCTAAAACCCAAAACCCCTCAAACCCCAAAACCCCGAAACCCATCCCGAGCCTTGGGGACAACCGCAGTCCGCCGTAGAGATGGAGCCCAAGCCCACTGTCATCGTGTTGTTGGTGCAGTTCCTGGGTGAGTCTAGAGTTTGTCCCTCAACCCTAAACCCTCAACCCTCAACCCTCAACCCTAAACCCTAAACTCAGCCTTGGGTTTGGTGTGTAGGGTTTGGTGTGCAGGGTCTGCGCGGGGGGGGGGGGGGGGGGGGCTTTGGGCTCTTAGGGTTGCTTCAATGTTCTAGGACTCCGGGGCGCTTCGGCTTTAGGGTTTAAGGGTTCATTAACCCTAAGCCCTAAGCCCTAAACCCTAAACCCCCTAAGCCCTAAGCCCTAAACCCTAAACCCTAAACCCCAAAGCCTAAGGTCTAGTTGGGGTTTAGGGTTTAAGGTCTAGGGCTTTGGCTCCAATGTTCTAGAACTCGATCGCGCTTTGGGGTTTAAGGGTGTAGGGTGTGAGGCTAGATGCGTTGCAAGCAGCACTCTAAATATCCCGCGCTCACCCTCACCAGCCCAGCAACCATATTCAAGGGCACCCTTTAGCTATTTCATAAGGGAACCTTGAACCCTCCCCAAAAAAAAACCCTAAACCCCAAACCCTAAACCCTTAAACATAAAAAACAACGGCAGAAGGGTGCCGGTGGGCCACCACCAGCCCTTCCGGGTTCTGCAAGGGTGGGGTCTGGCATTTGACATTTGTGAGTCTAGGAATGCATGCCTAGGGATGTTCTCTTATTCTAACAGTCCTGACTAGCACCCTACACCCTAAACCCTAAACCCTAAACCCCAAACCCCAAACCCTAAACCCTAAACCCTAAACCCTAAACCCTAAACCCTATCATATTCCCTATCAAGGACTGCTAGTATACGGGACTATCCCAGCGCATGCCTGTGTAGGTCAGCAGCATCCTCTAGGGCAGCTTAGTTCAGCCACATCTTGCCCAGACGATTCAAGGGTTTAGGGTTTAGGGTTTAGGGTTTAGGGTTTAGGGTTTAGGGTTTAGGGTTTAGGGTTTAGGTTAAAAGGGCACCCTGCTAAGCTTAAAGCCTTCACATGGTTGATCCTAAGCGCCAGGTGCCTGACAGACCTATTCATGCAGCTCAGCCGCGAACATCTACTCCCCAAATTCCCCTAAACCCTAAACCCTAAACCCTAAACCCTAAACCCTAAACCCTAAACCCTAAACAATTGCTCACTCGAAGCTATGCACCGGAAAGCCATCGAGCTACAAAGCTCAAACACCAAAGTCGTCAAAACAACCCTAATTAAACACGGAACCCTGAACCTTAATGAAACCCCAAACCATAAACTCTAAGCCTTAAACCTAAACTCGAAACCCTAAACCCTAAACCCTAAACCCTGAGCAACCTCAATGGCGCAACCTCAACGGCGCCCAAGGGTCTTGCACGCGGTGGAGCCCAGCTCGTCCTGGTAGGTGCCAATGCCGCACCGCTTGCAGGTCTTGCTCCCAGCGAGATCCTGGATGTGTCGGTGTTCCCCTACTACCCCCCTCTATACTACCCCCTCCCTATGTTTCCCCCTTTAAGGCTATGTAGGCTAATTAAGGTGAATTGTGGGGGAGACACCCATGGTTTGGGGCTTGGGGCTCAGGATTTAGGGTTTGGGGTTGAGGGTAGGTACTCGTATCCTACAAGCCTGTACCCCGAAAAGGAATCCTGCCCCTCTCCCCCCCCCCCCCCCCCCGGCTCTCCCCCGTATCAGGGTTTTTGTTCGGCTTCTAGATTTTTAAGGTTCAAAGTTTAAACATTAAACGTTCTCATCCTCGTGCATTCGAATAGCTAATAATTCCTAGAGAAGCGTGGCGGGAGGGATCTTATGAGCACTAAGCCATCCCGTGTCCTAGGGCCAATATTTCAGGAGATTCGGGGTAGTTCTTAACACCCTAAACCCTAAACCCTATAACGCCAGTCCTGATACTCGCCTCGGCCGCATGGCACACAGGATACTGCTGCACCTGGTCATTGCTGATGATTCAAAACCCTTTAGACCTTAAACCCCCAATCCCTAAACCCTAAACCCTAAACCCTAAACTCTGAACCACTAAGCCCTAAAGCTGACACCCTAAGACCAAAACACAAGCTTCAAACCACTTAAGGCCCAACACTTCTCAACTCTAAGACCTAAGGATCGCCCAAACCCCCCAAACATGCAAAATGCTTTTTTTGTTTTAGGGTTTAGGGTTTAGGGTTTAGGGTTTGGGGTTTAGGGTTTAGGGTTTCGGGTTTAGGGTTTAGGGTTACCGGGGGGGGGGGGGGTCGGCTATTTGTTTGCATACTTTGTGGGTTCCCGGTAAACCCAAAACCCCGAACTTCTCCACCCTCCCTCCACACTAAACCCTAACTCCGAAACCCTTAACCAAAACCCTTAAAACCTAAACCCTTAAACCCTAAACCCTAAACCCTGAACCCTAAACCCTGGACCCTGGACCCTTGACCCTAAACGCTGAATCCACAAGACTGGCTCTTTCCCTCATTCCTACCTCCTCCCAGCCCTAAACCCTAAACCCTAAACCCTAAACCCTAAACCCTAAACCCTGAACCCTGAACCCTGAATCCACAAGACAAGGGCGCCTGAAGGCTGGCTCCTCCCAGGAGGACAAAGCTCGCAGGTGTGCGTATAGCCACGGAGATCGAATAG